GTAAATCTATTTGACAATCAAAATTAAATAGAAAATATTCAATATTATAGAAAAAGATTAAATTAAATAAAGTAAGAGAATGAGAAAAATAAATTAATGGGGGCAAAATATTATTTGGTGTGGGGACAACAATTTTTACCATTAAGAGATTTAATTAATCAATTTTTTTACTGGGGGCAGCTGCCCTCAACTCACCGTATGTGGCTCCGCCACTGATTAGCTAGAAGCCATGTCAAAGATGTATATAGTTGGAGGGTAAAATTAAAGTAGCCTCGAGCAAAAAAATAATGCAAATTAATGGTGCCTTGGATCTCTCCTTCTCGTCATTTTCACTTAATTGCATTCCCCATTTCTCACTTACTTTACGACTATTGAATTTAGTTTATTCAACCGCATGGACTTTTTTTCATTAATGAACCCATTGGACTTTTAAAATAGCTACATCTTATCATATAGTAGTTCTATATTTTAATTGTGTTATGATGAATACATTCTAGAAGGCAAAAGAGTTCAACTTGGCTATTAAACATTTCATCAGTAAACTCCACTTTAAACTTTTACTGTCATGTGAAATTCTGATGTGATCTATGTAATGGAAACCTTGCAAGAGATAAATGATAGGTTTCCATTACATAGCAATCATTGTTCATGTTAAGAAACGTATATGAAAAAAAAATGACACGGAACGTATATATGTTGTCCATGAAGATGATGGAACAAATTCTTTACTTATAAAAAGATAAAAGGTTGTATTTTATATATTTTTATAAGGTTGACTCTAAATAAACACTCGCAAGGTTTTCAAAATGAATTTGTTAGTTTGTTGATAAAAAATCGCCACCACTTGATTTGTCAGAGATATCATTGATAGTTGCTTCCATGTGGATATGCACATAGTGATTCCTCTCGTTCGGCAGCCAAAGTAAACCAAGTCTTAATTATTATATACTATATAGTGTAATGCGTTCTCAATGTATATATGTATGATTATAAAAAGATAAATTATGAAAGCACACACAAGTGTTAGGTATTGGATATTCCATGTATAAAATTTATGGTTATATTCACATACTATTTATATGTATCACTATCGCACGCAGATAAGATTTTGCTTTTTCCTTTTTGACTAAAGGACACAATTTTTTTTAAGTTAATTAAATAATGAATACATTATACACGAACACTGGACCATTTTTTCCGTATTACCCACTTCCAAATTTTTGTCTCTCATCTTGAGAAGTCTTTGTTGACCTAGACAAAAACCTTGCATCATCATGACATATTGACATGATCCTGATTAGACATCCGTACATTTGTTTCTCCCAATACAAGTTATGGTATTTGTCTC